CCACACGACGTGAAGGCGGTAAACCATCCGGTAAAATTTCCGGAAAGACGTCAGTAAAACGCTTCAATAAGTGAGTGATCGGAATAGGAGTCGACTCACTAACTGGCGTGACCGCACAAATCTTGACACGGTACACTTCCTTGTACAAATGTTTCTTCACGTTACGTTTAAAGTCAACAGCAGCAATCTCCACAGCTGCTTGACTAGCAACCGTTGATGGAGGTGCACAAGACACACTTGGAAACGAAATCTCATGCGAACGCCAATTGATACATAGTTGAAACTTGGTAAACCAAGGTTTGCCCAAGATGACATCATGGGCAGATCCAAGTGACCATTCCATGACTTGAAGTTTGCGGAACGGTAGCGACCAAATTCAATAGTCGCTTGACCTTTCTTCACAGAACGCGCTTTCGTAGAGGTTCCATCGAACCGAGTGACTTGTGAGACACCAGACGTAGCGGTGTTAGCGACTAACCCTGGGCTAACAACATTGCACGTAGCACCACTGTCGAACATGATGACGACAGATTTCCCATCACAAGTCTCTTGTTTACGAATGAGCTCGTTCTCACGGTGCATGGACGACAAGGTGGACGTGGAAATCTCTTCCACTTCAACAACCTCAACCTCGTCATCGGAACGGGTCATAGACGCTCGTTCAGCAGCAGCAGTAGTAGGAGAAGAAGAATTAAAGTTCGCGGCAGATTGCTCGTGACGGTACTTTCGAGCATACTTCTCCTTGTTCTTCAACTTGAAGCACTGCTCAATGACATGACCAGACTTCTTGCAGTAGCGACATCGCTTGTTAGACGACGAAGAAGAAGCAGAACGGCGATTTCTAGTACTCCCTGAGTCAATTTCCATTGGCTCGGGTTCGTTCACATGCAGGACCTTATGGCCCGGTTGACCGATGAATTTGTGCCTCCGAATTTGCAAGAGCGTTTGCGTGATCAATTGTACGCGCTCAAGCAGAAATTTTGCTCTATCTTGGAAGATTACATCTCTCGCTTCCGTGAAGCCATCATGCAAGTGACAGACATGAGTGAGTTGGACAAGATCACTTACTTCACACGTGGACGAGTCAGTCCTACGCGCGAAGAGGTGCAATACCGTCGCTGTACAACAGTGTCGCAAGCAATGAAGATTGCTTTGGAGTATGATCGATCGCATCATGTCCGCGGTAAGAACTATCGTCCACCGTTCTTTTCGCAGGACCGATCGCGCTCTCAGTCCAACAACAATTCGCACCAAAAGCAAGCCACGCCTATGCGTGTTCAGGACCTTGATATCACGCTTGTTCAGCTTGTACCAAGCGGCAGCATTTCCTTTAAAGTTCGCAGTAGTCATGGCCAAAATTCGAGAACTTTGGTTGTCGTTTTGCCAATCGATGTTTTTGGCATCAAAGTACTGAGCAAGTTGCTCGAAGTACAAATCAACAGATTCTCCCATCGTGCCTTGAAATTCAGGCAGACGGATACCTTCCACTTTCACTTCACGCTTACTCATGGCTTCAAGCAGTTGTTGCTGCTTGTCAACCATTTCGATGAGTTTCTGCGTGATAGCGTCAGTAGACCATCCTTGAGGATTCAAGGAAGTCATGGTTGATTGTCGAAAAATTCAGCGATGAAGTGCCGAAAGGGTAGTCGGGTACAGGTGGACAGCGACGAGGGGTGCAGGTACTGAATTGATCCGGTTCTTATAGACCAGACACTTACAGTACACACGCAATCAGTGATAACACCGATAAAGGATGCGACGTTAGGTACGGGTACTAACTTGATCCGGTTCTTATAGACCAGACGCTTAGTGCAGTACACACGCAAAACCTCAACACGGCAAGCCGTATGAAATGAGGTCGCAACAAAGAAATCCGACGAATGTGGAGGCGAACAACGACGACACACGCTCAACGAGCGGCTTTCCACGTGTCGCGTAGCGAATAGAGAATGAAGAACACCCTCCCGGACGAAAAACAGCAAGTGCTACCAGATGTGACGACTGGTGAGAGCACGGCGCAGAGGAACAGCGACGAGGAACGAGTCGCGTGGCGAAGAGCGAAGCGGAGGAGGGCGGCGAGAGTCCAACGAAGGGGACTCGAAGGTAAGGCGTAGGAGGCAGTTGATGTGCCTCGAAGAAGGTAAATTGGAAAGTGAGATTGAAATGGTTAGCTGTTTGTCGGCTACGAGGAAGTGCTTGTTAGCATACCCTTGGTATCCTATGTAAGTATATGCATTTCACTATACTAGATTCTAAGTAGTCCTTGAGTCGAATCTTGAAGTAGCGTAGCGTAGTAGTGAACCGCGGTTCATTTGAACCGGGTCAGAATCTCCATAGTGAATTCAAATGAAACAGAATGACTGTCATTGAAGTTCCATGTTTGGCAATACTCGTCCAAACATGGCGATTGCCTTCCGGTCAGGCGTGTGTCTGCCTGGCCGCTCATTGGCAACTTAAGAAGACAGTTGGCAATCAGCAAAGACAAGTAGGAAAGAAAAAAGAAGAAAGTGGGACGCATTGGTACCAACGTCATGGCCATCGCTAACTGTGACGTTGGTGCGTCGTTACATAAATGCACTCTCGTTTGAGTACACGATCTTGGCAGCGCACAGCCAACGATGTCCTTGTGCATACAGTCCTTGGTATAGTCCTTCGCCATTGCACGCATATGTACTCAGTGTAGCCGGTTGTAGTGCAGCCGCAAGCTGCACTGCCAGGCGCATGAGTGTCCTTGGGATGTGTCTTTGCAGACACTGGCAGTGGACGGTGGCTCGTAGATGGGGGCACCGGACACTGGCAGACTGCAATGCACTGGCGCTCGACACGCAGGTAAGTTTACAGCTCACACTTAAGTTTAGAAGTGTACTACCGTCTTACCCCGCTTCAGACGCCTAGGCTTTCAAAAAAAACAGCTCACTGGGCATTGTATTCGTATATAAAGCCTAGGCTTACAATTGCAGACATAAACTAAAAATCAGAAGAACAGCATCGACAGCATGTCGATTATCCTACACATGCATCCCATTCACCTTGAGCGAAAAGTAGAAGCCAATTCGTGCAAGGTGCACCGTGTCCGTGGGGTTGTCAACTGTGTACGTGTACTCTGAGACGACATTGCAGTCTTCATCCAGAGTCTTGACTTCAATATTCCAGTGGTGCATGTGTGCTGCAGCAAAAAGCTCGAGCTCGCCTGGTAGCGTCTCTCCGCTCTTCAGCGAGGTGATATAGTCAATATCAAACAGACCGTCCAAATCCTGTAAGTTGCTCATGTACTCAGTGAGCACGTCAATGTACTCGTGAAGCTGCTCACCGCTACTGTATCGCAGACAGCAGAACAAGCTGGTTCGCATGTCCTCAGGGAGGTACCAGGTAGGTCGAGCAACACACAGCTCTTCACGATTGTCATTCTCATCCACATGTGCTGATAGCGTAGATGCCATTCGTTCATGTCAACTGACGGGCTTAAGAGATCGCGGAGAGGCGGATGCAAATTTTTAACGTCGAACTCCATCTTTGGCACCAGGCCACATAGCAAAAACGCTTTCGAAATCTCAGTGCGTTTTTTTGTAGCAACCCAGTCCAAAACCCACTGGGAAACCTTGTCGTATCGCGGAACTTTGGGGTTCCCTGCTTTTGTTTGAAGTCGTTTGTCGTCCAAAGCCGAGCTAATGTAGTCGTCGTATTGCTCCCTGTAGAAAGCCTGAAAGCTTCTGTTAACAGCAACATCGAGGGGCTGGAGGAGGTTGGTAAGGTTGGGTGGTACCAATAAAACGAAAATATTGTACTGTCGCAGCTTCTTCTCGTCATACAACTTGACGTGACACGCGTACGAGTCAATAACGAGGAGTACAGGCTTTCGGTAAAACTGAGTTTCTTTTCTGGTACAGATTACGTTTTGGGCGTACTCAAGAAGTATGGTTTCACTCCACATCCCCGTTGGGTTCACATCCACAAGAATTCCCTCAGGAACCGAAGGCTTATTCTTGAGCTTAGAGAAAAGAACGTGAGGAGTCAGGAATTGACCATCTCCAGTAATGGCAAAAGTTGCAGTGAGCCGTTTGTGGCTACTTCCTCCCTTACTCAGCAGAACTTCTCTCACACCACGGGTTGTAATAGTCGACTTCGGCTCGGTCTCGAAATATCTCGGGACTTGGTCCATATTGATGACGTTACAAGGCTGTGTATTGTGTTGTTCGATCAGTTGTTGTGCATTTGTGATAAAATCAAGACAAATTTAGCTGGCATTCTCGGAAGAGTTCTTGCACTGGTCTGCCTCCTGGATACAAGGTTGTTACGGTCTTTAAATCGAGCCAGCCAGCCCGATGACGCTTGGAACTCACGACGATCTTCTTCCGGGGTCGCGGCCATCATGGTACGATGGATGTTGAGTGCATGGAGTTGTATGTACTTGTCTTTTGCACGCAAATTCTTACGGTTTCGTGCTATCACCCAGTCGTGAACTTGTTGCTCTAGTGCGTGGTGCTCTGGTTTTCTGCCTGCTCCTGGCATCCTTCGTCGTGAACGGGTAGCGAGTTGGCTGTTCTTCGATGCGCTGACCAGCAAGTCTTTGCGGTCCCACCAGTTTCTGACCATGGACGGTGTCACCTTGTGCTTCTTAGCAAGCGCGTGGAAGCCAGAACCGTCCACACCGGCCCTGTATTCACTAATTACACTTAGCTTGAACTGCAGACTGTAACTGGTTCGCTTCTTGGATGTCATGGTAGATAGAAAATGAAAAATAGCTGACTGTTCTGGAGCGTCGATTGGTTGGCCATGAAGCTTTGGTTATGGCTCGCTGCTACCTATACCTTCCAGCTGGGTAGGCGCTCTATTTGACTGGGCGTACTACACGAGGTTCGGGTATCCTCATAATCAACGTTTTTATTCGATTTAAAAGCCTAGGCGTCTGAAGCGGGGTAAGACGGTAGCTCTTTACTTGGATAGCAATGTATCTCGAAAATCCAGAGCTGTTTCGTCGCAGGATATCAGCGATTAAAGGGCTATGCTAGCTGGGACGTGGACTGCCTCATCCTTAAAATCCCTTTTTCCCAGCCGCGTGTCCACTTGACTTCATCGTCCATCCGTTCGTGCAAATTGTCTAGACACCGCCTTATTTCCTCGCGACAGAAAGTAATGTAATCGGCATAGGAAGTGTCTCGTGCTTGAATGAGTGCCCGATGTGCGGGCGTGAGAAGAGCAACACACGCACCGTCATTGGATGCCAGAGGTACACAGGTCAAATTTTGGATGGAGAAGTCTGTCTGCACATCAGATCCATAGCACTGCCTTGCTAAATCCTTTGCCTGAATATCCGCCTTTACCTCCTCCCAAAGCGACTGCAATCCAAAAAAAGGGATACCAGCCCATGATCGCAACGGAAAACGAGGAACTTCACCGCTTTGAGTCAATATCTGCAGCTCAGCAGCAGTTCTTTTCACTTCGTGAGAATAGCCGAATTCTTTTACTCGAGCCACTTTACGCAGCCGCTTCAGTGATTTTCGCTTGAGCAGTTTCTCGCCTGAAAATGGCTTCACGTCGTCCAATGACAATACTGACGAGTCTAAGAACAGCATTAGACAGTGACTTAGTCTAATCAGTCTTGCTTCGAACGACAACGAGATCTGAATGTGATCCGCCAAGAACAGACTTCGAATGTCGTCCAATGCACTTTGGGTTGATGTCGAGCGTACTTTTTCACGTTTTTCCAGTTCTTGCAAAAGATGACCGTTGTTGGGGCTGCAGAGGTGCGGTCGCAGCTCTAAGGTGTGGTGGGTTTTGAGGTCCATCCACGACTGGTAGAGAGGCTCGAACGCAAAGAAAATATCGGAAATCTTGCGCCGTATTTCTTGCTTTGCCTGGTCTACCAAATTTCTCATGACAAATCCCGGTGCAAGAGTCAACAGATCAGCGTACAGATCCACTTGCTCTCGATATGACACTTCTTGTTGCAATACGAATGATCGAGCTTTCTCCATCTGACTGGACAGATACTCCTCCAAAGCGGCGGGGAGGTACACCGGCGGGAGCTCCTCGTTTTTTCCTTCTTGCTCGTACAACGCCTTCGTCTCTTCTTGGCATTTAGCGCTGACTTGATCGGCAAACTCTAGGAAAGGAACCGCTAATATCCGATCTTCTTCGTCTACTACTTCGTGATCACGTATCACTTCGTCTTGCCTCCCTGTTGCGGGATCAAACTCTGCCGGCTTGAGTTCAAGCTGACTCGGATTTCGAAGGAATCCAAAGTACATTCCTCGATGGTATATCTTCGCACGAAGCTGCATCAGCTTGGGTAACACATCACGTGTAAGGTTCGGCACATTGGACAACGAGTCCGAACGATCGTAACTTTTCCCTTCGTCGACTAACGAGTCAAGTGAAGCCAAGAGCGTGTTGATCGTAGCAGAACGTGCCTCACACCTCGTCATTTCAGATCGATATCGTTCTTGATCTGTTCGCCTAGGAAGCCCGAATTTCTGTCCAAGCCCCTCTTTCATCGCTAAGCTCTGCATACACGTCTGAGACCTTGCTTTGAACGTTTCCCATATGTCCATGTTCTGGCTCTGTTTGCTACTAATCTCATCAATTTGCTTCTCTCTCTCGGATATCTGATCACGGGCTTGAGCTTCGATCGTAGCGAGTTTTTCTCTGATGGCAGTGATCTCCCCGGGGTGATAATCACACCCACTTATAATCTCGGAGCTCATCAAATCGGGAAAAAGTTGAGACGAACAAGCACGTACGTAATCTTGGCAGGACGATAACAAACTGTCGATGTCACTAGCTGTCATGGCTCGAAGAACTGCTAATATCTCCATTGCCTCGCCTTTAAATACACCCAGGCGCTTCTTAGCTTTCACTTCCAGACCCTGGAGAGCTGCCAGGCTTTGCTGAAGTGGCAGCTGAGCCTGAAAGCCAATCTGCGCCATCCTGGTCTGCTCGATGTGTACAAGAGCCTCCTCCACTTTCGTTGCAAACGCAACTTGCTGTTCATCCATCTTTAGCCAGACTCCACGCAAAAGTCGCTCTTGTCGTTGCTGGTGATTCAGAAGTTCACCGACTCGAGGCTGGTAGAGCTGTACATCCAGTCTTCCATTCCGTGGCCAGTGGACGCGCAGTCTCTCCTTGAGGAGCATTGAAAAGCTTGCCTGGCGGTCATCGCGAGTTTCTTTCGTCTGCGTGTCATTTTTTGCAGCATCCGTGTGATACTTGGATAGAATAGCGTCTCGAAAAGAGGCTAGCAGACTCTCGACAGTGTCGCTGGGGACATTTAGGACCAAAAACTCCGCTTGAACTTTCTCCAGTACGCTTGGCTCCAAAGGTTGAGCCTCGACTTCCGTCTTGTCATCTCCATCGACACGTGAGCTTACGTTATCCTCACGGGGTGTCTTTTGTGTATACTGCTCACTTGAAGAAAATTCAGTTGGGCCAACGTGTAGAGGTGGCTGTTGATCTGTGTCCTCCTCGTCGCTTTGTACCAATATATTGTGAGCTAGATTAGCAAGAGAGAGAACTACAACCAACTCCAAGCCCGATGCTGTTCGAAAAGTTTCCTCTTCTGCAAGCTCACCAGAGTCACCATTCGACACTGGGTGGGCGGCCTCTCCTGTCCATGCCTCGACAATACGCTTGCCCTTCTCTTGAGAAATTGGCTTAAGCATCTCCTCAATATGCTGCGCACTGAGGAAGTGGTCTACGTTAAGCACCTCATCACTCTTGGTCTGATGCAGCTGCTTTAGCCCAAACAAGTCGCAGAGACGCTCCAGATACAGCAGACGCTGTGTAGCGATTGCTGCGACATTGTTACCTGCAGCAAGAGACACTCGTTTGTCATACGTCCGGTACTCACCTTCAATGAGCAGCAAGAGATCCGATGAACGCTGGAATTCCTCACGTAAAACATTGGTAGTCGGCGAGTGTCGGAGACGTGTGCAGCTCTGCGTGAACTTGGTCTCGAGATCGGCCAGAGTGTCTTCATCGAGCGTATCAAGGAGATCCATCACACTCAAGTTGACGTACTGAACCTTGTCGACGCTTTCCTCGAGGCAACGGACCACTCGGAGGAAGAACTTCGCCAGCTTCTCAACATGATCATACAGCTGTGCGCTCTGCTGCTCCATTCGCTTCCCCATTTCATCCACTAGTATTCGACCCTTTTGTTGTCGCGTGTCAATTTGAGGATCACATTCCCTCGAGATGATTTCATCCACGATACGATTAGCATTTGTCTGCAACTCGAGTTGCTCTGCGATGAAATGAAGATGCTCCTGCCAAGGTACGTCTAGTTCGGACGCGTACAAAAGCATACCAAGGCGGCGTTGCATCTTCCGAATAGCCTGGAGATCAACAGCGTTACCACTGCATTGGGGAACACTACTTGTCTTGCTCGCTGGGGCAGCTTCGGACAGCGACCGCTTCTCATTTGCAGTTCCCATTGATGAATTGACCGGATTCATACTAATTGGAGCTGGAATTGATGCGCCAGTGCCTTGAACGGAGCCATTCTCGCGGAGAATTGTGTTTAACTGGACTGATATGTCACCAAGTTCAGCTTGAAATTTGTCGCCCATGCCCTCCAAGTTTGTCAGCATGGAGATTTGAGACTGCAGACTCGGTAACAGCGACATGATCTCGCCTTTGGTGGCTTTTCGGACTTTCTCCAAAGTTGACTGCACCGCCTTCCGCCCCGCCTCCTTGCCCTGCTTTTCCATCACATTCGTCAGCGGCAACGCACTCAAGAGGACCCCCACTGAGCTCACCACTGGCTCCAGGTTTGTGTTGTAAATGAGATCAGCCGTGTTGAGCTGCTTCGCAAGAGTGTCAAGCTCAGTCTTCAAGCCCCCAGCGGCACGAAATAAGTCTTCCATCGAGTCGTCACTTAGCAGCATCACTAGAGCTGCCTTGGCCTCTTGAATCGCCCCTTCCTTGGCCATCGATCCAAAGCCATGCAGTTCCAAACGAAGCGCCTCTCTCAAAGCCTTCGCAGCGTCTCCTTTGGATTCATCAAGTTGCTTCAACTCTGACAAGAAAAACTGATTATTTTCTTCTTCAATTTGCTGCGTACAGCTCAGCTCCTCAAGAATCCGCGTCACTTGGTCCGAAGTCAGAGAAGCTCCTGCCTCCTTCAACTGCTGCAGAACCGCAAGACGCTGCTCAATGTGAAGTTTCTCTTGGAAAACTCGAATCTGCTCAAGCACAAGCCGTCGCTCCTCTGGGTCTGTAAACAGCGGAGAGTGGAGTGTGGCTTGGAACGAGGCAATCGCCTCATCGTGTCGTAGGTGACGCCAACGGGTCTGGCCCCGTTCCCAGGCGAGTCTGGCGTCCAAGAAGATATCGACATTGGCAGTCTCCAACCTGGCCACCAGATCTGCAAACACTCTGCGATTAGAGATCACTACTGTGTTGACTTCGTACGCCTCCGCTTCGATGATGCGCTCCACTTCAGGCGGCAAGGCATGTGCGGTTTCCATCAGCACATAAGTCAATCGCTGCAGTCTCCCACGTATTCGCCTGATGCGAGCTTGCTCGATTTCTTCCAGTCCAGCAGCGAATTGCTCAATCTCATCGGTTCGGTGCTGACAAACAGCGTCCAACTCGCTCCACATTCCAAGGATCTTGTCAGCGTCAGACGCCAGTAATAGTTCGTTGTTTGTAAGCACCACTTTAGCTTCTCGAATCCCCGAGTCAATCACGGCCAGAACTTCTTTCACGTGGTCTGCTGCGTGGATGATCGCGACTTCCACGTCCTCGCTAATGGCTTTGACTTCCTCTGCGTACAGCACCTGAGCTTCCATGTGGCAATCACGACGACGAACAGCGTTCAGTTCTATCTGACTGGCGCCTTCCGGCTGGGCTTTCCTCGGCTTTTGACTCGACTCGGCGCCGACACTGAAGAACTCGTCTCCCAGCTGTCGAGCCTCCAAAATCATTTGCGCCTCCTCACTGCACGCTGGCAAGGCCACGAAGCCGGCTCGATTCCGAGCTTGTGTCTGCTGCGATTCCTCGTCATCTTGTGCTTTCTGTTGCTCTGCATGTAAGTAAAACGAGGAGCTCGCTTTCTTCTGGCTGAGAGAGAGCAGGAGTTGCACCTCCGCTCGAGACTTCAGCGCTGTGGCGGCCGCTTCCAACGACATGCCACTGCAAATGGCCTCCAGCGTCTGTAACGGACACCCGAGAAGGGATAAAAACTGGAGGGGGGAAAATAAAGACTACTTTGAAGTATGATGATAACTGCGTTTTTGCGAGGTATCATCGCTTAGGGACTCTTCGTCCTCACTGGCAATAAAGGACCTTAACTCGTCCACCACGATGACAGACCCAGTCCGTCCTCATCAATCGTTGCCTAGTAAAGCCACAGCAACAATGCGATCAGCAGTGGCTGTGGGCAGACCAATCTACAAGGAGCAACACATTTTTTTTCACTCACCAGGATGTGAATGGCAGACGGTGTGGGGTCGTTGTCCGATAGATCCACACTTGACGACCGTCGACGGGCCAGGGATTGCCGCATGTCACCAGCACTAATCTCCTTCTCCGCCTTGTCTGTCGCCTCTGTCGTCGTAGCTTGAATGCCTGCTTCCAGCAGCATTCACAGTCAGCACAAATTCTCTTCAAAGCCCTCGTTAGAGTTAGTAGTTAGTAGCCCCCGAACCTTTTGCTGTCTTGGTCACGCGTGTGAAATTGATGTTGGTGACTCGGAAGCGAATTTCCTCGTGCAAGTCCATGTAGAATTTCTCTGCTCAGCAGTCAGCCCGTCAGTATCAAAACCAGTCATCTATTCGTTCACCAAAAGAAACGGACTGCACCTTGTCCTTCCGAGTACTTCCAGACCCAAAGTCTCTCTGCCGTGTCACTTTCCATGGTCACACAAAGAACGGGTGAGTAGACACAGCTAAGACCTCCCAGTATCTAGCACAAGAATAACTGAGGGTAGCTCACAAGTACGACGGCGTCTGCAAGGCGTAGGACGGGATGATGATGTCCTGTACAAAGTCCATACTAACTCGGATGTGTTCTTCCGTGCAGCTCACGATGCGTCCCTTGAGCACTTCGCCCACAAATGGTCTGAACACAACCAAGCGGAATTCCACCTGCGAGTGCGACGTGCCATCCGACGGGTGCACAAATGCGTCACCGATGCTCACGAAGTCGTAGAGCGTGATACAGAGCCCCACATCTGCGATGACCTTATTCGCGTACTTGCGGTCGATCTCCTCGATCAGAACTTGCGTGTAGTCAGCGTCGAAGAGCTCCGGAGCCACCGGAATGACGTCCGAGATGCGCGTCAGGACGAACATGGCTAACAAGTCAAGTTTCTGACTGGAGACTAAAGGCGGATGGGTTAAGTACGACGAGTGTAACAGATTGAAAGCGGCTTGTCAAAGCAGCTCGGTGGGAGCAATGCTTGGTGATCAGTTACGAATTGGCTCTCCATCTGGTCGCGGATTGCTCCTCTTACGCCCTCAGCCCCACGGATGGCTGAGTCCTCGTCGTTACAGCATTCTCCCAATGGATACGGGACACTGACTATCACTCCGACGCCCGGAAGCACCAAGGCAGATGATCGCCATCGCCGTTCTCAGGTGTCGCACGCTTTCCTACTCAAGAAAGAGGCGGACGTGGAAGAGCAGCGTCTGGCCTCGCCCTCGAACACAATTTTGCGCGTGCAGGTCGCCATCAACGTGTCACTCGCAGCTAATGTGGTGCGTCTGCCTTCAGTTTGAAATCAATTGTACCAACCTGTCGCCTTAACTTGTCGCTGGGGGTTTGGGTCTTCTACTGCTCGTAGGCCCTCGCTATTGTCAAGATCTACGCGGCCTTGATTAGTGGCTCACTGGCCGTGCTATCGTCGCTTGTGGACTCCATCTTGGATCTCACCTCGCAAGCTCTCTTCTGGTATTCGGACAAGCGGATGCACACACCCAGTGTCAAGTATCCAGCTGGCAGAAGACGACTCGAGCCGATTGCAGTTATCATTTCAGCCACCCTCATGGGGATGGCAGGTAATACACATTAAACTACAGTTCCTCAGTGTGAACTAGGGCTTTGCATTTGTACTGACGCTGCGTGCTTACTCTCTCTCTCTCTCTCAGCTATTGAGGTGATTCAGCAGTCAGTGGAGGCTCTGGTCGAGGGGCTCAAAGGTCACCAGCGGGAGTTGGAGATCACCTCCTTCACCGTGATCGTGCTACTGGTTGCAATCGTCGTCAAGCTTCTGCTGTGGTATATCTGCGCCAAGATTGCGTCGCATTCGCCTTCAGCCGATGCACTGGCTCAGGTGAAATGCCATCGAACAGACTAGGGTCCGGATTGTTTTGTTTAGCCATAATGTCTTTTATCGGTGTCTAGGACCACCGCAACGATGTTTTCAGCAATTCTGTGGCGGTTGCTGCTGCTTTCGCTGCGCACTGGCACTCGAGTCTCTGGTATCTCGACTCCGTTGGGGCGATCGTCATCTCAGTCTACATTGCCGTCAGCTGGTTAGCGACAGGGAAAGAGCAAGTGGAGCGCCTCGTTGGTCTGCGTACGTACAGTGGACCAGTTTGTTTGTCGTCCTGGATGCAGATTATTTTGTGCTAACTGAAGCTATCTATTGCACTACGCAGAGGCGGACCAGGAGTTTATTGACCAGATCCGTGTGCTGGGCGATGTCCACCACCCCATGATGAGGACAGACATTGTGCGGGCGTATCATTTCGGCAACAACTACTTGGTGGAGATGGAAGTCATCTTGCCCGAGGATATGTGCGTCAAGGACGCCCACGACATCAGTCTGAGTTTGCAAGATAAAGTGGAGGCACTGGACAATGTGGAGCGCGCGTTTGTGCACGTGGACTACCTAGAGCGCAACTACGACGAACACAAGGACCCCACAGTTCGTCGCGATTCTCCGTGACATTGTAAAGCGCACGGGAATACAAACATGAAAAAAAAGATACTTTTCTTTTCACTAAGCTTAAAACTTGGTTCATTTTGGCGACCACTGGCATCTTGGCCTCGGCCGTTTCAAGTGGGCGGTGTGTTTTAGCTGATCAATGATTCCACTTGCGACCTCGTCGCTGACACTGTCAGCACCACAGAAGTCGCCGACTATCTCTAGATGTTCCGAGTCAGACCTACCGTTATTCTGGTACGCCAAAGCAAGTGGTCAGAGAGATGTTCTGATGGTTAAGATATTGTTCGGATATACCTTCCCAGATGCAGGCGCTTGTGGCGGCTACCCCCTTCAACTGACGCCTGCTGTCGACGGCGATTCCTCGCAACCCGCGAAAATGACCTGATCATCTCACGTTGCTTATCCAACACCATGGCGACAGGAGTCATGAATCCAGAGGAGCAGCAGAGTTGGCAAGTCATAGAAGAACAGGCATCACGACTCGAGCTAGCATGGTCCGGTCTTGTGATCCTTGCCGAAGCGACACGAAAGTTGTAGTCCCATTCATTCCTCCATTTACCATCAACTAGCAACGTCTACATCCCTCTTCAGTAACACTTCGTCATGCAAATCACTTGCTCTGCTGTCATCGCTACTGCTGCCGCGGCTGCACTCACCTTCAACGCTGCTGAAGCCCACGGATACGTTTCCAAACCGGCTGCTCAATTCGTTGACCCGTCCACCTCGACCACCTATGCCAAGACCATCACAGCTGATGTCAACAGTGTCTTTGGAGGTCTTAAGTGGGACGACAGCCCTGAAGCTAACACAGCGACGTTCACCTCGTCATTCGCTAATGCCGGCTACTCTTCACTGCGCGATATGCTTGACCAGCAGGTAGCAGACTGCGCCAATACCCGAACGGATGGTTCACCAGTGGACGTCTCGGGTCTCAGTCTTATGAACTGGCAGAACGATGAGGAGCAGAAAGGTTTCATCGACTCGCACCACGGCCCTTGCGAAGTCTGGATCGACGACACTATGGTGGACCACCAGGAAGACTGTGTTGCGACCTACGGCACGGGATATCCTGCCAACATCAAAGCCGACTTCTCGAAGTGCTCGGGTGACTGCACCTTGCGCTTCTACTGGCTGGCGCTGCACGAACCCAACTGGCAGATTTACAAGCAGTGCGTGCCTATCATGAACAACTCGGGGATGCAGTCCCAGGTGCAGGGCACCGTGATGCCCACAAGCGCATCTACCGAAACTGCCAACGACAGTGACAGCGGGTGCCAAAACCGCGCGCTTCGTACGGCTGAAGACGCCCCAACTCATCTGACCAACGGAATCAAGATCAACTGGACGGATAACCGCTTCTTGCACGCGTTCAACGAGTTTGCCCTGAGCTTCCCGACGAACGAAGTCAGCAAATGAGCCACCAACATCACACGAAATCGAGAAGAGAGCACCGTATACCATACCAGATAGCTCGTCGATGTCCTACTGCGTTGTATTTCATGTCATCCCTGTATTAACCGAATGTTACAATGACTCATTTGAATTCGAATTGAGTGTACTTGTGTGTACTAAACTTTTCAGCTTTTGGTATTGTGAATTTCGCACAATACACCCATCAATGCAAAGAACGTACATGCAGTTCATTCTATTGTTGAGTTGTACAGCTCAACGTGGTGGATATTTTGGCTCTCAATATTACATCTTACTCAAATTTGGTAATGATGATCGATGCTACATAAAGAGTGACCCGTCACTCTTGTGGACACCTGATACACGGTACCAGTTGGGTTCCATACAAACTAGAGGTTACCTATAGTGGAGCTAAGTAGTCTTGCTCTGATTGGTACTTATAAATACATCAGTCTTATTGTGGGTTCTACTCAAAATTTTCCAGACCGACTGGTTTAATCATCGATCTCAATCGAGCGTCAGTCGCTCGACCACTAAAGAGCATATAATTTCTATGCAAAATGGGAGGGACTTCTTTTGACGCTGCCAGTCTCGAAGATGTCGACGACATCACCAGCACCAGCACCGCAAGAGCACGTCCGAGTCTCCCCATATCCAGAACGGCGCCGCAGCCCGGTCTCAAGTGAAGTATACCAGCCCGTGGCCTCCCACGTCTACCGGCTGGTTGTAATGGGCCCCTCCATTACATAAGTAGGTAGATTTCTTTACAAAAGTAGGTGCATCAGCACACGACTAGCGTGTGCTGAAATGCTGTCATGCCATTGGCTGATATATGGGGAGCCAGACCCATTATTAGCCAATTGGACTATGACGTGTATTTGAGTGGCCAGGGCTGTGGCCTTGGTCCTAAAATAAAGTCAGAGTTGATTTTTCCTTAAACCTAAGACTCAGTCGTCCTATTGCGAGCTTCCTCAACACTATAGTGTGAGCAAGTAACGGAGTAAATACCTGGCCCCTTACACCTGGTAGCACTTCGTAGTCCTTCCAACGAACAAGTTCGACATGAGCCAAGACCTCGACCACGCTGCCTTTCTCCATCTCACTCGGATCGAGTGGGAAGCTCTCCACCGCCTCGCGGCGGTGTCCGGTGAAGCCGTCGTCACGTCGCTGCTGCGCTCAGCGACGCCCGACGAGCAGCGCGTTGCGGCACAAGTGTTCATGGAACGCGAGCTCGCCGATGCGAATCGGCGAGTGTCAACTCCCTCGCGTATCTCCACGAATGACGTCGTGAAGCTAGAGACGTCCACCTACTCCGGCGCCGGAGAAGATCGACTTCCGCTGAATCGCTGGTTTCGAGAGATCGACATCGCCATCGCCTCGAGGTTGATCGAGGCGCCTTCCGCGAAGGTCCATTTCCTCCTCTCGCGGTTGTCTGGGAAAGCCAAGGAATAGGCTCTCGGCAAGTTGGTTGTCGATCCCAACGACTTCCCCACTCTGGATACCCTCCAGAGTGACCTTCGGCTCGCGCTCGAGCCGCCGCAAGATGAATCCCGAATTCGGGCAGACTTCTCCGCCCTTCGGCAAGGCACGATGACTATGCGCGACTACGTCCAGAAGACACGACACCTCGCGTCGTGCATCGTGTCTAAGCCGATCGATATGGCCTCTCAGGCTCATGTATTCGTGTTCGGTATGCGCGAAGGCATGACGCGCTACTGCCTTACAAGATTGGACCCCTCTACGCTCGAAGAGGCATTCGCCCTCGCCCTACGCGAGGACTACGTGGTTGCGGCGTCATACGCTCACGCGCTACCTGCTTCAGATCGGGATTCTGCGCCCGAGCCCATGGACATCGACGCTATCGATGTGACGAGCAATCGTCAGCGTCATGTAGTGTGCAGCGGGGCTGCCGTAGCTTTAGCGTCAGAGGAAGACGTTCGACTCAAAGAGTCACTAATACTAAGTTCCTTATCCAAAGGACACTTACAGCCCAAGACCAGGGCTCAAAGTTAACACCTTAACTTTTATGCTTCAAAACCAGAAGTGTTTTATTTACTATTATTGCGGCCAAGCCGCCTAGGGGTAAATGTATCTCTTTAACTATCTAGCATAGTTAAACCTAATCAAATGCATAACGTGTGGCTTTCAGCCAACGTACTGAGATACCTTGTTAACTCTCCAACTTATGTACTGAGAGTTTGTTAACTCTCCGGGTACTTCGTACCCCTGTGTGCTCCACACCATGTAACCCCGTTACACTCTCCCCCACTAAGATGAGAACATTCCGTTCTCGAAACTCTCCTCAGCGAGGTCACGTCTTGTTAAGACGGCGGAGGTTACTACACCTCACACCAGCGTTGTACAGCTCCGTGAGCTCACAAACGCCTACGCATCGTTGATGCCCAACTTCTCGTCGTCGGCCCACGGCCCAATGCTCCAAGCGCAGCGCGCATCTTGCTCTCAAGCGGTCTCAGACCTACGCTCGCGCTCCGCGCCTACTCCAAGAGCTGCAAACCGCTTAGAGCAATGCTCTTGACTCATTCGAGTCGTCGACAACAGCTCAGCGGTTGAACACTCGCTTCACAAGCGATAGGTCCGTGGTTCAAACCCACTAGGGCACAGCCCTCTCGTTCCATGAACGATTGTTCACGCTTGGACAAGCTTAAGGGCAACACCCTTTTAGCTCAATGGTTGAGCGCTGGCTTTGAGAGCCACAGGTCGGTGGTTCGAGCCCACCAGGGCACAGCCCTGTCGTTCCATGAACGAATGTTCACGCTTGGACAAGCTTAAGAGCAATCCGCTTTTAGCTCAGTGGTCGAGCGTTGGCTTTGGAAGCCACAGGTCGGTGGTTCGAACGCCCCAGGGCACAGCCCTCTCGTTCCATGAACTATTGTCCTTGAATGGACAAGCTTAAGGGCAACGCCCTTTCAGCTCAGTGGTCGAGCGCTGGCTTTGAAAGCCACAGGTCGGTGGTTACAAATCCACCCGGGCGCAGCCCTCTCATACCATGACTATGATCCGTCTCGGACTGACGTACGGGCATCGCCCTTGTAGCGAA